GAAAGATCATTTGAATCTTCCCGTGTCTGAGTCCTGGGACCTGAAGAAACCTGTTTTTCCTTGTTCCTTAGTGCAGTCCACTAGTGTGTCCCTGTGAAGGAGCTTCCCTGGGTGGGGGTGGCCCGAGAGCCTGGCTGCCCACAGGGACAGGCAGAAAACACGAAGCTCTCTCCCCCCCACACACTCTGTTCTCATTAAGGTTCACGCTCAGCTTGCTCCTCGAGCACTTGACTTGACTTATGAGGTCCCTCTAACCTCCGGTGCGAGGAGACATCGATTCTCACAAAGGTCATTATCTTTCTGCTCTGGCTTCCTCACCCCCAGCCCGGTCTCCTAGGTAGGCTTTCCTGGAACAGGATGGAGGGAGGCGCCCTTCCCCACCCCCTGAACCTGGGGATCCGACCACTCCAGGGCCTGGGCTGGAGAGGAGGTGCCCTGGGAGCCATGGCCGTCAATCACAGAAGCGACCAGCACTAAATCGCAGGCCATTAGGCAGGAGGGCCGGCGCCCTGCTCACTCACCGGGCAGCCATCGGCAGGATGTTAGAAGATCGCAGGGCGGCCATTCTTATGATTTATTCAAATCCTCATTACAGTCAATCTATTTTTACACAGAGGTGAAGATGTGTGCTGATAACGGTTAATCATTTATAATTCCATGGACTGGTTGGAAGCCAATGTACTATCAAAGTCGTAGCAGCAGCTCGGCCTCCAGCAGCCCCAGAAGCAGGGCGGAGAAGCCATGGAGCCAGGGCAACCCAGGCCCCAGCTCACACCTGCCGAGCCGAGCAGCAACGAGGCTGCAGGTGCCACGGGGCCATGAAGATGTGGGAATCCCAGACTACCTCCTGGCCTCCCAGCCTGGGGCCAGAGGGGCGCTCGGCATGGGAATGCAGCAGAATTTCAGAAAGGGCGCAGCTGGAGGGACCAAAGGAGGCTCCACAGAGGAGACCGGACTGAGGCTGGGTCCACAGGTGGGTGAACTTTGCCAAGTGGGAGAACCAACATGAACCAATAAGCACAAGAAGCAGGCGGAATGCTACCGTATAAGGAAGGGAAGAGACCAGCCGTATTCCCCTGTCCTTCTTCACCTCCCCTCCCCCAGAAATAACCAGATGTAAAAGCAAGGGCTGTGACCTTAGCCCCAGCCCTACTCTCACTCACCCCCAGGCTTAGTCCGCAGATAATAGGGGCCAGGGTCAGGGTTAGTCTTGCAAACTGAGCTTCCCTCTCCCACACTTATGAAACACACAACACAGCAAGCCCACCCAATGCACAATCAATAGTCTAATTAAATGGAATGCCATATTCTTTGTCACATTCAGACTTTATCTGACTAGAGGTCCACCCGTAGTTCATATTGTGACTAGCCCGTTGTTGAGTGTTTCTCTCACACACGGCATGACTGTAAAGATCAGGTTCGGGGCTGGTCTTTAACCTATAACCTCACTGAGTCACCATGGAAAACACCGATCAAATTTACTTACAGTTCACAGTCCCTCTTCTGATAAGCGGCATGGAGGACAGAAAGCCTCCGAGTCCTGCTCCAGACTTCACCTGTCAATGAAAGAAAACATTTGTATAGACCGTGCATGATTCTGTTGGGAGTGAGAGCCAAGAGAGGATGGTGGTAAAATCGGAAGTAGGTCTGGCTGGGGAACAAAACCAGGCTGGCAGCCCTGTGCCCTGTGCTGAGTGGATAAGTTCCCTGAGCAGGGGACTCCTGGTGCAAAACGATGATTGTTAGACAGCTAACCAGGACAGAGAGGCAGGACCACTCTTACCTGCCTGTTCCCTTAGTTTCTTTGAGCTCCATCCCCTCCCCTGTAGAAACCCCAGAGAAAGAGAAGCTCACGGCTGTGGAGAGCCCTGAGTTAGACGAGGCAATAACGATTTACTGACGCCTCCTGCCTGATGGAAGACCCCAGGCAGGGGACAGAGCTGAGCAGCAGAAAGTTGTAGTCTCTCTGGGGAAGACTGCACAGAACAAGCAAACAAACAACAAAACGAATGCTGTCGTTGATGGCAAGAAGAGGGAAAGGTGATGTCGGAGAGCACTTTCCAGCAAAGGTGCAGAGTCCACTTGGGCTGGAAGGAAAAGAGCTCATGTGGAGAATCATCAGGCAAGACTGGGAAGATCAAACACGTGACCGCTTTTTACTTTCTTTCTGGGCTAAGGCAACATGAACAAGACAACAACAGCCTTGTACCCACCACCAGGTGTCCACTCCGTGATTTACACTCGCGAGGTGCAGCAGGAGTAAAATCCACGGGTCCTGTTATAACAGTGCTGCCGCATCACTGGGGGAATGATTAACCACTCGGAACAGCATCAGCTAAGACAGGACTCTATATAAAGCGGTGCTGAACTGTGTGGGGGAGGCTGTAATTCTCTGTCCATGGAGAAACGAAGCCGAGAGTTGAAGGGCTCAAGGGAGTTTTCAGGGGGCTGTGAAACCTGGGCGGGGTCTTGCAGGACTGGACAGGTAAGAGCTGGCTGATGGAAGGAGACAGAGAGGAGTAATCCCAGCACGGATGAGAGAAAGAAGCGTGCAGAGCCCTGGGACGACGCGGAGGCTAGTCTGCCCGAGGGAGGCCAGAGCAGGGACTCATGCTGAGTGAGCTGCATGGCCGGAGTGTCCAGGGCTGGGAGTGTCAGACAGAGAGCCCAGGTTTGGCCTGTGAGCTCGTGGAGCCATTGAAGTTTTTGATGTTTTAATTAAACTATAGCGGACACACAATATTGTATTAGTTTCAGGTGTACAACACAGTGATTCGACATCTGCATACCTTACAAAGTGATCACCACAAATCTAGTAACCCTGTCACCACACAAAGTCGCCATGGTCTTTCAACAAGGAAATGACACGAAGAGAAGTCCTGCTAATTAAGACAGAGAGGCTTCTTGGAAGAGGTGGAATTTCAGATAGAAGACTCAGGCACCAGGGGTAATGTGAGGGCCCAAGGAAGGAAGATATCCTTCTTGTTCATGATGATGTCCCCCAGGATGAGACACTTCCTCTGGGGCCATCTACTACCATCTGCATGACATCAGGAACAAGACCAGATCACTGGATGGCAAGTGTCTGAGGATAAGGGCTGCATCTTATACATCTGTACAGCTCTAGAACCCAGCAGAGCACCCAGCATGCATCAGGTTCCCAGAGAATGTCTGTGGAAATGTTTAATGATGGACTCTGTTCATTCCAACCAGAATCTACAAGCAGCAGCTCAGAACCGGGCCCTGGCTGGCAATGGGCTCAACTTATATTCTTCTAAAGCACTGACACAAGCATACATGGACTCAGTATAGGAAGTCTCCAGGCAAAACTGCATGAGGCGGGGCTTCATCCCTGCCCTCTGGACTGTCTATGGAGACACCAGCAACTTGGAAGAAGATATAGGAGACTCGCCATTTGCACATGCTGCAAAGCTGGGAAGAGTGGTCGCTACGCTGGAGGGAGGGATTCAAGAGTGTTACAAAGCCTTTAACAAGCTGAAAGGATGGGCCAGAACTAAAAAGTCAATCTTTCCTCTATCAGTTTTTATTTCTTGCACGATAACATCACGACAACCATAAATAAAATAATTTCTAAAATAAAGTACAAGTGCCCACAATCCCATTACTCTAACCATTAAATTATATTATGTCCACATGAAAATCCATTTTTATTTTTTACAGAATTGTAGAAAAAATTGACAAGAATATATACACCAAATCCTACCCTCACATTCAAAAATCAATTGCAAAAACACAGCATAGGGTGACCTGGTTTAAAAAAAAAAAAAAAGTGGGTTGAGTTAAATGCAAGCTCAGGATGAGCCCAGGGTGTGGTGGTGTTGCCAAACACATTAAACGTGACCTTAGGTGTATTAATAGCCATACTGTGTCCAACCGAGGGGTGAATGGTCCCCTCACTTTGGGTTTGTTGGTGCAATTCTGGCATCACATTTTAATAACTGGGACAGTGATGAGTAGAAGAGAGGGGTGAGCAAAGACGTCTGATAGTAAAAGCATCAGTAAAATGTTCAGTAGTTAAAAGTACAAGCTCTGGAATCAGACTGCACCGCTCTAGAACTTACTAGCAGTAGGACCATACTCAAGGTCTCTGTGCATCAGTTTTTCATCTGTAAAATGGGGCTATAAATGAGATCGGCCATTCACATTATACTCATAAAGTATGAGGAAATTTGTGTAATGGTAAATGAGGAGGGAGGTGTTGAATGCTCATGTTTATGGAAAAGAGGTGGAGACAAGGACAGAAGAAAACCTCCGGTAGGAGGCAGCAGAGCGGGCACCCATGAAGCTCACCTAAGCTGGGAGCATGGAGAGAGATGAGCCATGGGTCTAAAGTGGGGAGCAGTAGACCAGGGCATCACAGATATGGGTTTTGTGCCCTGACTGTCATTAACTTACTACCTGGCACCAAACACTTGGCTGAAACAGTAACCCAGCCAGCACTACATGGGCTTCCTCAGCGCCTGGTAAGAACCAATGCTAATCCATACCCATCCTCAGTCCTCTGGGCCATGGGCAGTGCTGGGCACCCAGGTGCAGAGATGCTGGAAAAGGTGCCGCAGTCACATTCTCCAGGCCCAACACGCTAACCTTGGGACTGTACCTGTAAGTACAGGCGCACTTAGGAGACCCTGTGAGGACTGTTGGCACTGGTGGGCTAATCCTGATAATTTTCCTGCCTGGGAGAAGGAATTAGAGGCACTCATGACCCGTGTACACAGATGGCAGTGCAAAAGGGAAGACTTCCACACACCGAGAAGTGTGGGCTCCCAGGCTATAGGGCCCCTGCAGAGGCCAACCCTCAGGGACAGAGGATCTGGTCACAGGGCCACCTGCCTGGCCCAGGGGACACCCTCTGAGGCATGAACACCAAGACTCAGACCTGCTGCTCTCTACCAGGAATGTCACTGCTCTTCTTCCCACCCCAGGTCACTGAACTGCCCACGCTTGCTTTCTCCTAGGCCCTTATGTGATCTCCTGGCCTCCAGCCTCTCCCCATTCATATCCATCCATCACCTCCCCCCAGCTGGGAACTTTCTGAAACACACATTTGATCATGTCCACTCGTCCCTAAAGCCCTTTGATGGCTTCTGGCAGAGGTGGTTAGCTGGCAGCCCCCAAGTGGACTCTTCCCTGTCTGCTGTTTTTATAAATTCTGCCAACATCTAAGAAGTAGAAAATCTTGCATTTAAAAATCCAGATTTCTAACTTTTCTTAAAGAGTCAGATGACCTGATGATGCCAATCCTGCATTTCCATGCAGCAGTCATTGACGTTGATACAAGCTGTTCCCTTTAATCAGGCCCAGGTCCTCCTGTGTGACCCATAGATAGAAGCCAGGCATCACCCGGAGGTCTCTCCCATCACAGGGCCAGGCACCTGGAGGCTGACGCCAGCTGCCTGCTGAGGAGTTTCAGGTTCAAGGTGACAGCATGGGTGGGTCAGGCAGGGTGGCTCACTCTGTTCCCAGATGGAGGCTAAAGCAGGGGATCCAGAGAAAGGCCAGTGCCACCAAGCAGGCCCTCCCCGTGTCCCTCCCTCTCCTCTGGGCAACTTCTCTACTCCTGGCCAGGAGCAAGTGGGCCAAGGCCTCATTTCTTACAGTCCAGGAATGTCAAGGGCTACAAGGCAGGGCTACAAAGAGGCCACACCCCCTTTCTTCCTGAGGCCACGCCCCTAAGCCTAGCCTCTTCCCACCCCCAACTCAGTGGTGCTGCACCCCTCCCTTTATTTCCATCCCACTATTCCTATCAAAGCCCTAACAGCACATATTTTGTTAATTGTACAAACCTAATGGGGGAATGCATTGGCAAAAAAGGGTAATGGCCATCAGACCAGCAATAAAACAAAATTAATGGCCCATAGGAAGAAATCATGTCCACTTAATCCCAGCTCTGAAACTCTAATAGAATAATGGAATGCCGATGGAGGGTTTTTCTCTCTATGTAGATTGCTTACACCATGTTAATCACTTGCAAAGCAGGCCACATACCACTCCAGCTCACATGACCCTCCAGGGAAAGTAGCAGACCAGAAACATTTAGTGCCAGGCTCATTACAGACACGCACCACCGCAGCAACACCTCCCCTCCCGCCCTCC